ATGGCATGAAAATATTACTTTTAATATTAATAATCGATCAATGACATTTGAACAACAATTTCAACGTATAATTGAACTTAATGTTCGTTTTTTAATCTATGAAAAACCTCCATCAGGTATTGCTGATCGAATAATTCATTTCATTTCAAGTTATTTCGCAGCTTTATTAACAAATCGATTATTTATATTTGATAGAAATTGGTCAGAATTTATAGACATTATGCAATCGAGTTTAAATTATCAACCAGAATCTGTTATTCCTTGGTTTTCTCAGTTTGACATGATTAAGAAAAATTTATCTTTAAACATTCAAAATAATTTAACAATAAAAAGTTATTCGTTTTCTTTCGATCGACACAATACAGACTATGATTATGAAAAACATTGTCGTGAACGTATTCTTATATTTAGAGGTCATACAGGAGGTGTTATACATGCAATAAAATCAAATTCAAGTGTCTATAGGAAATTTTTAACTATTGATCTTGAAATGAATCCAGAAAATATTTTTGGATGTCTTTATCATTCTCTTTTTACTTATCGTTTATCTGAATTGATCAAAAGAGTTCCAGTAATTTCTTCAAATAACCAATTAGGTCATTCACCTCGACATATTTTACAGACACTTTTATCACCGAGAGTTTTTCCAATTGGAATTCAAATTCGTGCTGGTGATCGAACAATGACTCGAACAAGTGTTCCCTTTGATGAAACAACAATTTTTAAGAGATTTAAAAACTTTTTTAACTGCTCTCAACAAATAATTAATGCGAATATAAAATTATTTCGTGAAACAAATCAAATTCCAATTGTTTTTCTATTATCCGATGATATTCAAATACGTCACGTTGCTTTAAAACGTTGGAAATTCTCATTAGAATGCTTTCAATCATTTGACAATAAGTGTCAATCCAATAATAACAGTTTAAATATTTTAGCTAATTCCAATCCCGTTTTTCATGTATCAAATGCAAATGATCGAATATTAGCCCTTCGATTAGGAATATTTGATAATTTTCTTTTTAGTTTATGTGAACAACATATATTCAGTATAAAAAGTGGATTTGGTCGTTTTGCGGCTTTTGCATCTTTAAAACTACGAAATATTTATTCATTTTTTCATAATGAACAACCTTCTTGTCAAAATCAAAGTGTACCACTTGCAACTGCAGGTTATCATTGGTCGGGAATTTAATTATTGGTTTATAAAACTATTGAATTAACGATTATTCAATTATTCGAAACAGATAATACATGAGAAAAATGGTCTCAAATATGAGGAATAATCGAAAAATTCTTTCGAAGTGAAAAATTTATTTTGTATTCTATTATAAAAAGTTTCCCTTCGAGTTCAATTTGCATCGAAATGAAAAGTAGATCGTTTTCAATACATTGTCAAACTTTTATTGGTATAAATGAATTCATTTCTTACGTTTATCTATTTTATAATTTTAGAATAAATTGCTTATAAAAAAATTCATGTAGAAGTCATAATTGACTAAGAATTAATAAAAAAATATATTTGGCTAAATCCTTTTGTTTATAGATCTTCAGTCAGTATGTTTCGATGATGTGCCTTTATATAACGTTGTCGAGAAAAATTCACTTGTTGACAATAATTCTTTCATCTATCCACATTTATTACAAGATCAGTTTTTAAAGTTTTCAGCAAACGCTTTTAACATTCTTATTCAAGTAAGATTGTTTTCAGACAAAGAAAAACTTTGCTTAACTGCACGTAGATAAAGTTAGCATCATATTCGAATAAAATGTTGCCCATACTCATACAGGAATCTGTTCCATAGTTTCTATTCTTATTCCAAGCACAACTTGTGGTTGTATAGTAGTCAAATATTGTCTCATATAGGATAAAAGAATTTGTCAGTATGCAACAATAAAATACTTTTAACTTATCACATGAAGCATTCAAACAAAATTCGAAAGATTTCTATTGTTCGAAATAATTTACTCACAATAAAAACTATGGAATACAAACTCATATAAATTTAGATTGTTGTTGCTTTTTCGGTTAAAATCAATAGATAAAGAAAAATCATTAAAATTACCAAATAAACTTCTTAATAGTTATGAATATTGGCCACGTTCCATTTATCATCAGAATATTCTTTCTTGGCAAGATATGATATCTTTTCACACATACTATAGAGTGTAAATGTTGGATTCACATTAAGTTGTGTTGGAAATAGACTAGTATCAGATATGCGAACATTCTTTATTCCAATGACACGTGCTGCATTATCTGTGCATTTACCCAATGCACATGTTCCTACTTAATGGTAAGCACTACACATATTCAATCGACGATGTAGATCATCGGATCTACTGTATCGATTTCCAGGAAAAAGTTCACTTTTAACGTATCGTTTGCCCCAATTCGTATATCGAGTCATATTACGAACGAAGTTGACACCGTATTGTAGATTATTTTGATAATATTCAGACAAATTATGCCAACCATGATCGATTTGTGGTCGATCATATGGAGATAAACTTTGAATTTTAACAGTTCCCTGAGCTTCAGGTTGAGTATTGAATACAAGAAATGTTATGAATGGAATTGGTGGTTGTGAATAAGCAAGAATCAGATCATAACCGACTATTGGAAAATCCAATGTTAATGCAGGAAATCTTGAATAACAATAAATTTGTACATCTGTCCAATTCATATTGCTTGTCTTCAATCCACTATTTAATAACCATCCACAAGTATCAGCATCCTATGGCAATGCAGGCACTTGTTCAGTATTTTTAAAAGCCATATAAATAGCCATTTGATCAGCAAAATGTTTTCCTATTTCTGCATTCTTTGCTACTACTTTGATACTCAATGGTTCCAACCATGTTTCAGGACCAACACCAGATAATTTCAAAAGTTTTGGTTTATTAAATACACCAGCACATAGAATGACTTCTTTTCTTGCAATAGCTGTACGTACTTCTCCTTTGTATTCATACGAAGCACCAATATATTTTGTTGGGTCAGTTTGATCAAATAAAAGCTTCAAGACAGTTGCTGAATCCAAAATTTGTAAATTTGTTCGATTAACTACATTAAGATATGCATTCCATATANAACAACCTCCAAGAAATATTTGACAAACTTTAAAAAACAATCACCTACCCACCATGTATATTATATATAACATCGATATTATCGACCATTGTTGAGTCGCCCGAATACATGCAACAATTGTTATATCGGAATCGCTAACTTTAACTTTGCAACATATACTCCATTATTACAACTTCCAACTTTTCACCACCTTCACGAGACATAAGACACTCGTCAAGCGTCTCGCCGTTTCTCTCCAGCCTTCTGTATTATATTTTTGTTTTTTCTTTGTAACATCTTAATAAAAAGGCTTTGACTCCAAAAAAATTTTGGTATTAAAATGTATAAAAAAATTTAATTCGTTTTCTCATGTTTAAATATAAAACGCATCGCAGACGCCATACATTTTGCAAAGATTGCTTGGATTACCTACAAAAAAATATTCTTTTTCTTAAAATCTTTAACTCTTGTTTTATTCAACTTACATTGTTCCAAAGAAAAACAGTAAAATAATTGATATACTTATTAATTTCAGCATATTTTCGCTGACCATTTGTAAATAACCATACAAATAATAGGACAAAACAAACGAAAAAAATAAACATTAGTATAAAACTAATTACATTAAGATATAATATATTGAATACACCAGCCATTAAATAACATAAAACCATTGATAATATCAATGTTATTGGTGTACGACTAAATGCGAAAACATTTTTTGAATTATTATTGTTTTTAAATTTAGCTAAACAAATTGAAAAGAATTCGAATATTTCCTAATAAATATTTTTATTTTACTATGAAGTTCGTCTATTTCAGCTTCTAATTTTTTTTCATAATCTTCTTTTATTTTTTCATCAGCAATTTTAGGTGCATGACGAAATTTTTCAATAGCTTCTTGAAGGAAGTTTTGATGGAATGCATCTAACTGATGAGGATGAATATAAGGTCGATCATCACCACAATACTTTGAATTAAATATAAGAAGATTTTATTTTTGAATAATATTTAGTTTTACCTTTTCCATTTGATGACTATAATAATCTTTTGCTGCTGATACAGCAGTTAAACAATGAATACGACCTGTTGCCTAACAATACCAGAAGAAACGTCTTCATTTAGTACTAGATTTTTAAACAAAAGAGTAGGACGATCGTTGTTTTCATTAATGCTGTGTTTTACAGCTCAGAAACTCTGGAAAAGCTGATTGTAGAATTTTGACTTGAAATTTTACACAGAGATAAGTCTTAAACAAATTAGTTTGGTGCAAAAACTTTAGACATTTAGATTTACTTGTATCCTAAAATAACAACATTCAATCTGTTGATGGATATGAGCAATGTTAAAGATATATTCTTACCATAACTGTATCTTAAGATAGGAAGAATGAAAACATTTGAAACTATCACAATAAGACATTTTGTTTAAGACTAATCATTGTGCAAAGGTTCAGGTTAAAACTTGAAAATCAGTTTTCCTCGTGTATTTGAAGAAAATCACGGGTTTGATTGTAAAAAAATATCATAAAAATGCAGGATATCACCAGCAATAAGCTAACTGCACTAACTCTTTTCAGAGTATTAACAAATTATTAGGGTTTACATGATGTCCATAGTTGTGAGTCACAAGCGATTAATCAATGAGTGTATTTTCATCGTCTGTTTAGTTAAGTTGAGTTTGAAAACACAAACATCAAAATTTCCAAAATCAGTCGAAGGCTTTTCTATTATCGTTTTTATGTATTTAATGCTGTGGTTAATTTCGATACTCTTTTCTAATCGGAATAATTTTTTAATTTTGTAGCGAATTCTGTTACTTTGCTAAGTTCTTTCTTCTTTCAGTAAACAGGGTCCATATGAAGAAAAAACAGTACGTTTTAAAAAAGATGGTAAGAATATATAATTGTTTAAATATTAAAATGAAATGAACCGAGAACCTTGCTAATGATATAATTCTTATGAAAAGTAAAGAAAAAGAATAATTTCGATTCTCTATTTGTCATAAATCTTCGCATAAGATAATAAACAAAACTCAAAGTACTTATTAGTTCTTTTTCAAAAGTTATTATATAAGCTGTAACCCAAGCAAAATAGCAATACATAATAATTACATACATCAATGATAGTTATTGGCGTTGGTATGAGTCCCGAATGAAATGCATCACAGTAAACCTGAATAGAAAACAAATCATTTGATATTTCATAAGAGGTTTTTCAGGTTAATTTAGTTGCTGAGAGCTATGGATCTACGTTTCTGTGCATCCAGACCTAAAAAAAAACTAAATTTCTGGGCCTCAACTCAGAGTGTGCAAATGTTAAAGCTGAAGCTCAAAACTCAATTATTTTGATGTTACTAAGGGACAGAAACGTGACAATATCTATACGGTATGGATTTATTGATATTTTTACATCCTTTAATGACAAAAAACCGTGACAGTTGTTCGAAAAACAATTCCTAAGAAGTCAATATCTCGTTAGAAACGAATTACAAATAAGAACTCTCTTAATTATATTAATAGACCATCAAGGGCTGTATGTAGTGAAAGACGATCTCATAGTCGATAGTATTCTATCATAAAAAAATCTCTGTTATAGCTTATCATTTTTTAGAACAAAAGAACTATTCATAAGTTTTAAGGAAAAATGTTCATTTTCTTCTTTACTCAAATGTTTTTATCAACTATCAAAATATCAGTCATATTGGTGAGACCGATGGAATACGGTTCTATTGACACTGATCATAGCCTACGTGCAATACTTTATAGGCAATATTGGTTGAATTTTGTTTTTTTAAGTGATACATTTTACCTACTCGAAAATATTCGAATAAATCCTTCGATGAAATATGTTGTTCATTAATTTTTTTAATAAAATTTTTATTGTCTAAGCAAAAAATCTCCGGTACAAGTGTTAGTAATTGTTTTTTAAAGTCTTTGTCAATATCTAAACAAAAAAATAAAATAAATAATCAAGGAAAAAAAGCATGAATTCTTTCTCACATGCTAATTTTCCATTAAAATCTTCTCCAGTTGTTACTTCAAGGCCAGGATGTGGCATTAAAAAGCAATTTACTTCACGAAAACACTTAGGTAATCGTTCACGAAGTAACTTGAGTTCTTCAGGTTGCTTTTCTTGAATCTAATGCAATCAAATTAATTATAAAATTTTTTGTTTATTTTCATTTTTACTTTTAAGCAATCCGATAAATATTCTTCTCCACCTTCAAATCCATATCGTCTATCCTTTTTAAACTGCCAATCGCGTACAAGAAATGTTATTTGCTAGGGAAAAAAACCATTAAACTTTTTCTTTCTCCAATTTTTAAAATAAACCTGAAATGGTGAGTTATGTTTAGCATCAAGAGCTAAAACACCATATTCCGCAAAAATTGATAAATGCTGTAAATCATATTCTTGTATATTGTGCATAATATTATAAAGAGTTACACTGCTAACAAGTAATGTTAATGCAAATATAAATGTGTTTTCAAATTCAGTTGAGTATGAGTCATATGTTCCTTGAGTATCCATCAGGAAAACAGCAATCTGAATTTAACAAATATTTATTTAATAAAATATTTTATGCTTTTACTTCTTCTCCATTTGGTAGTGATAAAAGAAGTGGTTCACTCCACATAATCATTCCTATTGTGTGTCTAGTAGTACCACCACGCCAACCAAAACCTGTCAAAGGCTCATCTTCTCGTCCGATCCATTCTGAATTACCCTAAATGTATACAACAGATTTTTTATATTTTGCAAGATTCAAATTCAATATTTAACTTGTGCTTGTAAATAACGAAGAAAAAAATCAAGCATAAACGATTTTCCCTTACGAAAATCACCTGCAATTGATACAAGTGAAATCTAATAATTATATAAAGAACAAAAACAGTTATGAATTGAAATATTCTTATTTTAATTTTTACTTTTTTCCCAATTGCTAGTTCATGATATAATATTTTCTTTAATTCATCTTGATCAAGTTTAAATTTGTGATCTTCTGTTAAAGTTACTATTTGTACAGGATGACCAAATGGTTGGTATCGCGCCATCTAAAAATAATACATACTCAATCTGAAATCAAACAGAAAAAGGTTCTCGAGCCGGGTATGATTATGGTTGTATGAATGTGGAAAGGATCCATCCTCACATCTAGACTGAGTCAATTGGCTAAAACAAAAGCCAGCCATCGGTTTCGATTCTATTATTGTCTTTATCCTTTCTAATTATTCCGGGTCAAGCAAATTAAACCAAAATAGTTGTGAAAAACTTCCAATAACGTGTTGTTATGTATTGTGAGCTGTATTGTGTATGTATGTGACATTGGTTGCTTTTTTTATTGTCGAATGATTCATTTTATACTGTTGGAAAATGATAATATTTTACGTATCTTATCTTTCCTTTTTACCGTTTTGTTTTGTTTGCTTCGGATATCTTTCAGCTATTAACTGTGGTAAGAACAAAAGTGTTTATCGAAAGCAAAATGTTGAAGGGAAGAAGCACACCAGGAGTGAATGTAAACCACGAAAAATATCATTCTCATGCAAGAAACTTCATTTCGAATAGAGTATTCACAGCAAAATATGTTTTTCTATGACGTGAGATCGTGGATATTATTCACAAATACACAACGGTTAACAATGATCAACCTCATTCATCATGTATTCGACGATATAATTATTGATTGTCAGCAAACTTTGATTATTTTAGGCAAGGCTTGGCATTTTATTTCGTATTGGAATAAATGAAAGCTATGCTATTATTGATAGAGTTGCAAGTTGAGTGTTTGAGCCATCACCATTGCGACATAAATATATATATGTATCTATTAATCTTTTGAATGTTGTGGACACTAGAAGGTATGGGTACGGGTCTTCTCATCAACTAACACCAATATTTACGTCCGCACCCACACCTACACCCTAAGATAGCAACAAGTTCTTGCGTAAAATAGCAACTTAAAATCGAAAGACAGTAATAAGAAAACGTTTTCATGTGAGAAAGACTTCAAATAATGCAATATCTTTGATTTTATCAGTTCTCTTTCACATAATCAAAAAAAGTGTGATCTTTACAACTAAAACAACACATAGCGAGGTAAGTCATGATGAGCTAAAGAAAAGTATACAACAACAATGTAGAGAATAAGAGATACTTATAATAGCACGCAAGGATGTTTTCATTGGACAATCAATTTTTACAATCTAATTGCTTTCAGTCTAAACAAGTGTTTCTGTACGTGAATGTGAGCCCTACAGCACTAAATTGACGTTCGGTTTAAGCATTTCTTGCTAGAATAGAATGAATTTGTCACAGTACTCTCGAATAAAAAGGCGATGCGTCAAAACTTGATTTACAAAACTTAGAAGCCAGAAGACAAGTTTAGTCTAGCCTGGCTAACTGTTTGATGGCCTGACAGATGCTTACCAGACAGCAGACCAGGTCGACAGTTCTGACTTAGACATATAAGTACTTGACATGAGATTGTACTATTCAGAACAGTGATATTTTCAGTAAAAATGTATAATGTTTCTTTATGATTTATCTTCATTTTGTCCAATGCTCACATCGGATTGTATTTATACTTGCTATTGCCATTCAAAAGATTTAATATTTTATATCTAATCGACTTAATCTTTTTATTTATTTGGAAAAATATTATCTTCTATAAATGTGTAAATAACACAATTTTTCAATTATTATTTCTACGACAAGTCTAAAAGAGAAAGAGGATGAGAGCGATGACGGCAGTCACTTCTTTCCTTCAGCTTTTCTCAAATTATTATGCAATATTTTTTTAAAAAGGAAAGACAACTCAAATACTTCGTAAGTCCTATAGGAGTTCTTTGGACTCAGCTATAGATAAGACAAAGGTTAATTTGAATTTCTATCTTATGAAATGATATCTAAAAGTTAAGAGGAATACTAGCTTTGTATTCTTAAGGTATATATTTTTTTCTGAAAATCTTTTTTAACAAAGTTTCAAATAAATCTGGGTGGGTCAATTGTACATGGGCCAAAATATTTATTGGTGTTCAATGTTCATAAAATTTTGTTCCTCACCGAAGTACATGATGAAACTACAACCATTTCCCGGGTATTAATAATTGCCTTCTAGCGCTAAATGAATAGAGAAAGATTGTTGAAAAACTTTATGAATGAAAAATTTATAATTCAACATACTTGAATCATAACGATATTGATTGACTATTCATATATTAAAATTCGTATTGTTCATTTTCTTGTCTTTTTATTCATTATATTGATACTAATTAGAATGAAGAATGAGAAAATAATAAATAAATAATGTGAATAATTCTTTCTATATGAATATGTATGTGCACTTAAAAGATTGGAAAAATATATATTCTTGACCACTATCCTCTATAATGTGGTCTTAAATTTAGTTCTTAGTGTCCCCGTTGGTGATGTATCTTGCAATTTTAAGTTGTTGAGTTCTTCGTTTATTAATTATATATATTTATTCCTTTTGTGAGAATTTTCTATTGAATCTTTCGACATGTTGAAGATTACATGTGACTTCCTTTTTCTTCAGTAATTGAAATCTAGAATTAAACTTTTCTTTTATTTGATAAAGAAGTTAGATAGCATACATAGATGACAACAAGAATATTTTAGAAACATAAATCATGTTGAATAATTTGCTCTTAATAATAACATGTCTCATTAAAAAGCAAAAGAAAACTTGAAAAGATTTTTTCATGAAGTGGAAGGGCAATAGTATTTGGAAAATTTTCCTTTAAATATGTAACATCTTAAAGAAAAAACTGATATCATATGTAAAAATCCTATTGTCAGAATAAATGGTTTCCTATTAAAGAGCCGATCTCCATTCCTACTTTTTTCTAATGATACTAAAATACTCATCATCAGATGTTTGACAGCACACTTTCGAGAAAAACAGTTGCCTTTTTTCATACAGACAACTAAACAAACTTATTAACTTAAATTAATTTAGATTGAATTTGAACTATTACCCGATTCAAAATCAAAGGCGAGTTGCCATTTTCTAAATAGATTTTAATTGGAACAAGATAGAGACCTGCAGTTTTCACCACTTCACAGAACAGCCTCCGAGCAACAATTCTCTATCAGACTCAATTTGTCAATAAGACATATACGTATCAGATATTACTTCGACTTTTCTAAATTCATACCATTTTTAGAACCTACATTGAATATTTTTGTTTATAAATTAGTTAAAAAGTCTAAAGTATCCTCTATAGAACCACGCAAATCATAAGTTTCTATCTTGTAATGTTTAGATAGGAAATCGATTTACTAGAAGTAACCATACGGTGTCTGGACCAAATATTATTTTCCTTCAAGTATTAAAAATATATGGGAAAATACCATATGAAACAGGTTCAACATCATAGTATATAATTTTGACTAGCCACAAAAACATTTCTTGCTTATCGCAGTTACCTATAATCGAATTTAAACTTTCGATTGGAAAAAATTTCCCATCTGTAATGGGTCATTTGCATTTTCAAAGAAAGAACAGAATATCCTGTATCTGCATAAGGCAAAAACAAAATGTAGAGAAGGTATATAAAGACCAGATGACTCGAGTAAACAAGCAAAAATTAATAATAAATATACTGAGAATAAATATGTATTGATGTTACTTCACCTCTTTCAAGGAAATATAATAGAGGACATAAGATAATTCACAACTCTCTAACTTTGAAAGTCATCATTAACATAGTAGAATGTTTGTTGTAAAATTTCATCTTGTTCACAATTTATTGCCTCTACTTGAATACTTTACTTCTGGATAATATCAGCAATATATTTTTTGGACAGTCTTCATTATATACTATGATTTTCAACCTGATTAATAATGTGTTTTCCATTATTTTTAATGCTTCAAGGAAAATAATATTGTATTCAGGCGCCATCTGTTTACTCATGGTAAAATCGATCATCTGTGTCAACAATGCCATGTAAATCTAAAAATGGCATAGATTTAAAAAAGCTGAAATAATGTCTTATATCTGTATGTCTTATTGACATGTGATTCTAATAAAGAATTGTTATTGAAAGGCTGCTCTTGCGAATGGTGAAAATCGTAAGTCTCTAGCTTGTTCCTGTCAAAAGTTATTCAGAAAACGGAAGTCATCTTTCATTTTGGATCGGCCAATATATGATAACACATTTCTATTCAATCTCAAACAAAGCATTGATGATATGACTGGTGAGTAAGTATATGCACGATGAGATTAGTGAATTCAATGAGCAATCTTCCTCTTTACCAATTTTGATTAGAATATTTAAATAAGCATGAGTTTTAGCTTAAATATAATGGTTTGCGCTCGTTTTATTGGTTGAACTGTACCGTTTTTCTTTGGCATGAACACTTTGATAATAGCAGCGATTCTATGCCACAATGGTCATGTGATACTTTTCTCTCTCATTACTTTTCGAATCAGCTTCAGAACAGGAGAGCTTCCATAAAACTGGGCTTTTTTTTGCTCTTGGAGAACAAGGAGAATAGATTTTGAAAAGCGCAATATAGTGAAAAGTAACATCAATGCCAATATAAGAAAGATTCCGTAGTTCTGTGTGAGCTTCGCAAATAATTGTGTATGAATATTCAATTCACCAGTCTCAACCGTTCCACTTCTGCGTGATTGTAGATCTGATAATTGCTAGAGTTTCAACGATTTTTGATAATCAACTCAATAACCATTTATTATTACAGAATGAAATTGAAGAAGAAGCGAAGATCTCGTTCTTGCCGGACCTATTGCCGTTTACTACATGGATAATTTCATGACAATAACCAGTCAAAAGGATTTCATTCTGACATCACCGATGTCCAAGTACAATTTTACGTACATAAAGCATCGTCAATCGTTTCGTAGAACGTTAGTGCAGATAGCCAACGGAATGTATAAAACGTTGCTCAGTGCACACACTAAGATGGATCGTGTCCAATCGAGTATACAACAGATACCAATTCACATCAAAAGAGTTCAGCAACTTCTGATAGCTACCTTACCTTGTCATATTTAGACACAGCTTCCACATACAATGAGTAATATCCAACGAGTTGCAAGTCAGTTTGTTGTTTCAGTCAATGTAAATACTCATGGACTTCTGCAATTTGGCAGCTTTTGCTGAGTTTTACAAAAGACCTACACAAAAAACTACAACGTATATTATGACCTTCCAAGATGAGAAAAACAATTTTTAGGCTCTGTTGCAAACTTCATTAGTAGTGATGTAATGAAACCTGTTGTAAATGTTCTTGATGAAGCAATGAATAATAATACGACGTTTGAAAATGCGAAGACTAAGCTGAATTAATACTAAAAACTTGAAAGAATCACAGGCTAGATGCGATCTTTGATATCTTCATCTGTCAGCAAAACAAAAAAAGACTTGCTGCTATTATTATGCAATCGTCTTCTCAGTTGAACACAGATAAAATAGGTACACAAACTATTATTGACATTCTTCTTAAAGCAACAAGAGAAATCATTGAGATACAAAAAAACAACAATGGTGCAAACTGCTAGTTTGCTTTATTTCCAAACTCTCAATAATAGCAGAAACTACTCAGGAGATGATTCTCTTTCAGTTCATTAGTGCTATTAGTTAGCTGAATTAATTAATGGAGTTTTGGATGAAGCCAATCGAGAATTTGATATTTTCTTATTAGTCAACATCGCCAACGAAAGGGATGCATTGTCAACATCGTCGAAAGTTTGTTGGACAGCTCTTGTGAATAATTGGAATCATCTACCGGAAAATAGGACTAGTACTATTTTAAAATGCTGCAGAGAAAATTAAGTCTTATCTAAGACCGAATTCTTTTGTAAATATTTAGCAACGACTATAAATGCTTTGAAACAGATAACTGTTGACTGAGTAATGAAATGAAAGAACACTGAACAAATTCGGCTTTTAAAATGTTATGTTTGTATGGTGTGCAGGTAAAGACGAAGATGAGTTCTGTAATACTGAAAGAGAGATGAAATAATTCTTCGTTCTGCTTCTTGACGGTAGTATGTACACTAGAATAAGAGAAATATTTACAACTGGTAAATCATAAGGAGTATTAATAACTCATTAAGTAGTGTCATTGGCTTCGAATTAGAGAACGATCTCAACATCTTCTCATGACCGACCAGTTACTTTACTATGTAAGCGTAGATTTAATTATGATAATAACATAAGAGTCAAAATAAATGCATTCACATAGATATGCTTTAAGATAAACAAAATGTATTCGAGTATGTTTTGAAGAAATAGATTAAGTATATGATTATTTATTACGCAGATAGCAATGAAAGAATACAAAAATTTTTTATTTTAATTTAAAATAAAAGATCAACTTCATATATTACAATTATTCTAAATACAAGTACTATTTTCATTAGTCTCATTTTTCTCTCTCAAAATCATATTATTACAAGAAAAAAATCGAGCACATTTTTCAGACGCATTACACTGATAGTGAATATCCACACTGTGTACAATATTTTGCATTAAATACACACTTTTGATTACTACAATTGGGACAATCGCTAAAGACTCCTTGTGAAAATAAACAAATGACTTTATAATAGGATGGTGGCGGAGGAGTAGCTGGAGCAAATACATGTTGAGAGTATTGTTCATTGTCTAATGATGTTGTGGCTCGTTCGAGATCTAGCACAAGACCAGAAGCAGATGGATTCAGCCGAATTGATCTCGAATCAATTGGCTCACGTACAGAAGATACTGTTACTGATGCTGCTCTCTGTTGTTGAAGACGAAATTCTACAGTCAACTAAGAAAAAAAGTACTGTAATGCTTCCAAAGAAAGTAATCAGTTTCGGGTTCATAGTAAAGATTTTGCAAATAATCAAAACATCACTCAGTAAATGCATACATACTTTAAATTTTTTGCCTGACGCTCTATCATCAATCTTTTCTATAATCCATTTGCCATAGGCTATTCGATAAATAGTCATAAATTCTTCATCTGCAATTGTTTGTATATCAGATTGTAATTTTCTGAAACGTTTCGCCTTTTTTTCACGACTAAATTTATCACAGACAGCGCAGCAGGTAGTCACAATGCCAATAATCGATCTGTGACAAAATAAGAAGAAACATTTTGTTAGTAAATGCAATAGTTATCTTGGAATTTAGTCCTCTGATTGAATTCTAAGTTTGACTACAATCATCAGCATTAAGGCGTCCATATCTCTTGTTTATAATCATTGATTGATTTGAAAATTTCATAGAATACTCTTCTTAGTAGTGGCATACGCTTCTGAAATTCCAGTCATCTACTTTACATTCGCACTCTTTATTGAAATCTGCTAGAAAAAAAGAAACTCACAGGTAATTAACACTTAACTTTAGAAAAATGTACCTTTCACAAACAGATATATGTAAAATACCGACTTTATGCATCATTCGATTTGCCATCAATAGGCCGATCTAATGCATACCTTGATTGAATATAACATTTTTGATCAATTCTATTTATTTCAACGTTCAAACATAGGTTGTTTGGTAGATCTAACTGAAGTGTATCGATTATAATCTTTTGAGTATCAGCGTTCTGAATTAAGGACACTTTTTTTAACTTTCTTACATTTGAAATAACTCATAAGCGCGATATGATATCGAAGAGACTTCGGTGCATATATCTATATAAGAGTGATAATCCTAATGAAATCACTTAGCTAGTTAAGTCTGGTGAATTCTTGGCATACCATCTCTATTGTAAAAAGATCATACTGTTGATTGGTTGAGCAATGGTATTCAAACGGTTAATGTATAATTTGTTTCATTCTGTAAAACATGGCAAAGTAAATTGGACGAATTATCGTGAAACTCGATATATTATTTTGCTATTCAACCATCAATCGTATTTTTTAGCAAGGTTGCAAAGAAAATAAGTTTTTGTCTAAGTTTGTAACGGTATTCTACCAAGATATTAATTTAAACTATTGTATTCTAGTTGTACAATTTGGTATGCAATTCACAGATATATACAAGTATATATAATCTAACACTTGAAATAATTTTCTTTTTTCTCACAAATACTTACATAAATACTATAAACCCATAGATGTCACTCGCTGAATGTGATTGTATTTGGACAATGACAAAGATCATGACGCTTAGAATAATTATTATTATACCAACGAAGCACGGTATATTCATTGGAGATTTGAAGTTTTGAATTCGTTGATTAATTTTCGATATTATATGTATATATTGATCTCGTGTGATATAATTATTCAATCGGTCATCTGAATAGGAGGAAGAATCGACACTAAATATGCCATATTTATCGGATATAACTAAAAAGATTTTTTTTGAAAAAAAAACACTAATTTCGGTTTATTAAACGATAAGAAATTTTAATTTACTTTCAAATTTAATTGTTGTCATATTCTATAGAATTCTTGATTCATTTATGATATGATAGGAAAAAAAAGAGTTACATGCGTTCCTAGGACGATGATGTTTGAGAAATATAGAACAGAAAAACAGCCCATGAGTCATATTTGTTCCTTGAGTACTAACAAACGGAAAGAAAGAAGAATGGATGGAGGACATAAATGATAATATTTAGTGTGAATGAAAACACACATTTTTTTAATGCTTTACTTGAAAATCAAAGAATTATGTTATTTATAGAAGAACACATTACGCGAAGTTTTTAATATTTTGAAAGCTTATTCATTTGAAGTTTATTTCACGGATTTGATTAGTAATTCCCAAAAAACAAGCTACTGCCGTAGTTCTTAATTTCTGAGATTTCTTATTCTTCGCACTGCCATCTTTCGTAATACTATTCACACGCTATAATTTTTTTATCCGGTTTCTGATCGATCTATTCGGAATACATTCTATTTCAATTAATAAATGATATATTCTTGACCTACAATACTTTGTATGCTACATTGTACTTTAATGAAAATTTTCTTTTCATTTTCTAAGCATATATACATTGAAATGAAGATGTTTCCATTTCTCGATTTATTGTCTCATCTTTTGATAAGGAATTTTAAATCTGTTATTGAATAGAAAAATTTCATTTCGAATGTCTTTTGAACTTTCTCTTCTATATGGTGGAAAAAAAAAGAAAACGAGAAACTTATACAAATTTATCATTTGTTAGACTGTTTGCTTTGATTAATATCATAGATCTTTACAGCGAATAGAATATTTTTATCTTTTTTCTATGATTAGAAAAGTTTTATTCAATTGAAATATGATTGGAGGCAAAATCATCCAAACGATCGTTTTATACTTGAATTATCAAATTAAATGATTTTATCAAAAACCTGAAGAATTGTTTTGTAGATCATGCAAAAACAAAACGAATTGCATAGAGAGACGAAAAAGAAACCTATGTTTCTTGACAAAATACAATTTCTTGTTTGATCAGATGATATTTTGTCTAGCTTTCAATAAAAAGAAAAAGACTTTTTTCATCTTTATTCTATTGCGCAGAAAGGTCGATAAGGAAAGGCAATATTATTTTCATAATCATCAATAAATAAACGACCAAGAAGTAGTGCATAAGTAAATCTTTTGATCTTGTTTTAAGTATTTTTATCAATAGGTTGTTCTAAATTTCTACAGTTTTGATCATATTATCTTCATATCAGTTTGAAAATGCAACAAATCAAGAGAATCAAATCATTTCCTATGCAGAAGTGACAAAAGACAACTTCATCTTTTATTCTACAAATTTGTTATTATGGATACATTGAAGTTTAAGTAATCTTTCACTTCATCTTCATAACATCACTCTGAATGACGTCGTCAGACGAGTTTTCAAAGGTTTTAATTACTTACTTACATATTTGTACTTGGTCTTGAAGCAGTACTTCACTTTTATCACACTTTCTTCATGTTACCATGCTGTTTGTTGGGAAAAAACCAATGTATGCTTATTCATCATAGAATAAATTGTAAAATCACATCGTTTTTTACTATACATATTATTAAACAGAATAATGAAACAATAGTAAAAGTAAATTGAAGGTGAGCATCGATTGACATTTGTTTTTATTAAACGAATGTCTTTTGATGTTTCAGTTCTGGTAGGTGACAATATTTTTTTTTTAGAATAAAAAGGTTGCAACTTTTGAGTCTATCTACAGGTTTTTCTGGATAGGATTTCTTTAACAAGAACGATAGAAAATAATTTGATTTACTAAAGCAGAATTTTATACAATTTACTCGAAAAATAATCAAAGGAATGGTTTTAGAATATGTTTTAAATAAGATGTTGTAAAAATACAAGTATATATAATATCAATAATAGATTAATTAATAGAATATTTAGTACCTAATCCTTATTCCAGTGATAGAATTTGAGTGATATTTTTTTTATTCTGAAAAGAGTAATAACTTATTCTTTTAGAATAAACAGATGTTCTTCTCTTACGTCAATATTTCCAAAAAGTTCTATAATATTTCATTAACTTTATTTTTATGTTCATGTAACAATTATTTTATAAATATTTAATATACAGGTGAATGACGTTCGAAACAAATTTTTTAAATATTAATTAATTGCCTATTTAAAAATTTTATAGCAAAATATTACCTGTTATACTTTTTGTTATGAAATAGTCATCAGTTGATTATAGATTCAGATACTTTATCTTTCCATAGAGATCTAATACTGATGGATTGATCAACAGAGAAAAAATATTAAAGTGTACGACAGTTCTTTTGTTTACTTAAAAAAAACACACGAAATGCATTTTTTCAACTTGAAGAAGAAGAGGCTTTCGTTGATACAAATACATCAGTAAATAAAATCATTAGAAAACGTAAATTTCAGATTAAACAGTTACGAGGCACCGATGGATACATCATCTGAAGGTAGCTAAAGGAAACTTTATTTTTATCAATTTTTTTTCTTATACTTATTACACTATATTGTTTCTGAAAAAGTAATAGTTCATTTATCAATAATTACAGATGTACAACAACAATGTATAACTAAATGTGAAGCTTCTCAAAGGGCATTTGTTGTTCTGTTCATTTAATTATTTTATCTTTAACTTTGTTTCAATTGAAGTTTTGATAAATTATCAAATTCTGCCCATTCTCTCATCATAATCATTTCATTCTGAGTCAAATCGATTTAATGTTGAAAACGTAGACATGTGTGTATATTTCGTCTGTTTTAGACTGTAAAAAAAATGAATAAACTTTCAAAACTCTTTTATAGATATTCTTAGCATTTCTATTTATTGAAAAAATATGTAGGATAGAACACAAAGAAATTGAAGACATAAAAGGATGAACATCGACTTGATGTCAAAGAGTCACTGGAGCGAATAGATTACTCTAAGGAATGTAGCTGTTAGGCGAAATTGCAAAAGAGATGAAAGAGGCCCACTTGAAGCTTGTTCAGTACATGAACAGGTTCTGTTTCGGCATACCGTGTTATAAAGAATAGGTGCACTTTCAACCTAATAACAGCGATGATATGCCCACCTGGTTCATATTCACTTGCCAATATGTCGATATACCCAATGTAAAATACAAAAATAATGAATGGAGCACAAGTAGTTTCGATGAACCAACGGATAAGATATAACCAAGTAATACGACGGCAACTCCTCATTAACCATAATCAAGAATAGAGAAAAGTAGACAATAAATGATATTATGATTTCTTCTTTGATGAAAGAAATAAGAGTGTATAGCTGTGGCTGACGAGAAGAAGCGAATGTGAGTGTGGATAGCGTCGAAGAAATGCTCACACTCCTACATCCTCAAGAGAGTCAATTAATTGATGATGAATTCTATGGATGAAACTTGACTTTAGGTGCAAAAATGACTTGATGAAAAGACAGAAACTCTCTAAGTGCCAAGAAAAAATTAAAAAATATAAAAATGATGAGACTTTTTTTCTCTCTCATCATTTTTCTTTATAAGGTTTCCACTAGTAGGACAGACGCACTTTGCTTAAAAGTTTTAATTTCGAATAATTCGTAGCTTTTTAAGGTTGTCTAAGGTATTGAATTCAGTATAGAACTGTTTCTAGTCGATAAAAGAATCGTTGAAATTTTCTGAAAATTCTCATAGAACTAGTTGTGCTCATTACTATCTTCTGTCAATGGTGCAGATCATTATGGAAAGATTCACACAACAATTCTATAGCTCAAATATGTACAAAGAAAATGTTCTTGTTCAAGTAAATGATTCATTAGTTTAGATTTTAAGGCAATGCTTTCAGGTGTTTGAAGAAGTATTAGCAGTCTTCATCAAAAATGGAAGAGTTTTTTGAACAATGATCGACTGAAAGCAATGGTCCTAGCGAACGACATCATCCCCTGATTTTCGATGATCAAACTCAGAAGATTGAAATTGATTGGTTGATGCTCTCGACAAAGATTCCATTGTTTCAGTGAAGAAGATCTAATAACATAAAAAGTATAATCTTTTCAAATAAAGAATATCTACTTGTGAGACAGAACTTGATATCAACTTCTAACAGAAATAAATTCATTGAAAATTCGTAACGATAATGCTCGTCAATGAACGGACAACATTGGTCAACATGAAGTCTACTATGTCAAGTATTTTGTTCGAGCCACGAACATTGAGACTTGCAATAGTTGAACTTTCTACATTTCAGTCATGTGGAATTCAAACCGTCGATGATTGTCATATTTCTTAATGAGTTTTACTCAAATGACAAAATCATCATCATATGACTTCAATATTCCAAACGAATAGAATCTTCGAGTGGGATATCTACCGATTTGATCAATACCTTTGAATACAAAGCACAAAATACCAACGAATCATTTGAATGGATATCAAGTTGACATTCATCTCGAATTAAACATCTTGAATTATTATTTATGAGGTATTATCAAGTTCGATAATATTTTTGATAATAGGACACTTTAATCCATTCATATCAGTCAATAAGCTGGTTGTGTTGTTCAATATAGAATACTCGGATATCGAAACTTCTTAGCTATGCACCAGTTTTGGTTGTGTTGATCGTTCCGTCTTTGACCTAATTCAGATGAAACGAAGTTTAAAGAATCGAACAATTGGTCAAATGCAAAGAATATTCGAAGACAAACAAAAAAGAAATAAAACACTTTGTTGTTTTCTGTTCTTTTTCTTGCATGAAAAAGAAACTCGCAAAGAAGATTAAAATAATTCTGTTTTATCTCTTCACTGTTTAAGTATTCGTCTCATCAGCTTTTTAATGCTTTCATCCTTGTTTTATTCGTGTATAATGTTCCTATTGGCTTCTTCTTAATTAGTTATTTAAGAGAAAGATGAGAAAAAAGTAGAAGAAAGAATATCTTATATCAATCTTCATTTCAAAATAATATTCACTATACTGTATTTTGCTCAATCCATACACAAACCAGCAAAAATACGACGATCCAGCTTAAATCTTGTCGAAGTTATTTCTCTACAGAAAGAGAACTATCAGGTTACACAGCTTTGTAAAGGAAGAGTTAGACAACAGAAGATTGTTTTTCTTCTGTCTCCTTTTCTTCACCCCTAGAGAGAGACATTTTATTTTATATTCGCGACGTTAAAGATCCAGTTTTCGACACAAATCAATAAGGAGTCGTCGAACAAGATAATGAATCTGATCGACTGAAAAACAGCGAAGAAAACTTGAAAATACACTAACAGAGATTGTTTTTTCATTGTTTGTTGTATTTCTGCAACAATAGCCGAATGACAATTCTGATTAAAGGAGTAGATATGAGACGTACCAATATCTTTCGAAAATAATTCGATGAACTTGACATTTTGAAGTTATTCCTTTCCCTTTTCTTTATCATTAATTTTTGACTTATAAGAAAGCTTGAAAAGATTCATTCGGATGAGAACTAATTCATATCTTTAGAAATGGAAGAAGATTTTGTTTGCTTGTTTTAGTTTCTCTTTAAATACTTCATTTACATTCTATCATTTGATCTCATCTTACGTGTTTATCCCAATTTTTCTGAAGGTTCTTAGAGATATGGGAAAAGAAAAGATGTTTTCAAGATGTTCACAATAGAAATTGAATGATTTTATTCTTCGGTTAGGATATGCAGAATTTAATGTTTGTGACAGAGATGACAAAAGTAACCTAAGAAAAGAACTGGTTGTGAACGTGAAGAGAAATCACCATAAAGTCAAACTGAGAATAAATCTTCTCAAGTTCGTTCTAATTCTGGAAGATTTTTATAAGATCGGTTTTTGTCCAATCATTTATACTTTCGAAAAGTGTCCGTTCATCAGACGAGAATGTTGAGGAATGATCAGGATGCTCTTGCCATTTCAATTGTCAGTCACACTATGGCGACATTGTGAGTTTCATTTATTATGAATCAAACATAGAGATGAAATAAGCTGGATTTATTCCTTAATAAGATAGTATCGGCGAGTCTTTCAGCATGTCTATTCAATTTTTTCTTGTTTCTTATCTGGTTCAAGTCAAGACTATAGAAAAGTTTTCTTCAATCTATTTATGTGTTTAATATAGTCAATCGTAGAAACAAGATGACATCAAACTCTACAATAACAACGACAACATTGGCTACGTTAACTCAGATTCAACGGTATATGACTTTATATGGGATGAGCAGTCTTCTCTTACTAGGAAGTATAGGCAACATTCTCAACTGTGGTGTTTTTCTTCAACGAGCAGTTCGTCGTAATACGTGTTCGATGTACCTTGCCACATCGTCAATATCTTACTTGATTTCTTTGACTTCCGTTTTATCGATGAATCTCCACAATTTGTACAAAGTTGATCCAAGCACATACTCTCTGTTTTATTGCAAATTTCGTCGTTTTTTCTCGGCCTGTATCTCATCGATTGGGCGTTTCTGTGTCGTCTTGGCCTGTCTCGATCGATATGCACTCTGTTCAGATCATCCTCGTCTACGACCATTGATGCGTCCCCATATTGCTCTCCGTTTGATTGTTGGAATGATTGTATTTTGGGTGATTTTTACATCTCATGTTCTGATATTGCAGACGATCGTCAATGGGAAATGTTTGATGCCGGGATTGTATCCGTACTTTTTCACTGGATATTCAATGATAACATCATGGTTCCCTCTTCCGTTGATGATTACATTCACCACATTGGCTTACAAAAATTTAAGACGAGTCCAAGGACGAGTACAACCAGTCATCAACATGAGGAACAATGTAAATGTTGTTCGTACTGGAATACGTCGTCGAATTCAATCGAGTGATATTCAACTGCTTAAAATGCTAATTGTCGAGACGACTACCTATTGTGTATCGATGATTTCATATCCGATTTATATAATTTATGCGGCGGGTAAGTCTCTTCTTTTATTCGTGTCAATTTTTCGCAATAATGTCTGTCGAATTTTAATATGACTAAAACAATCGAGTTAAAAAAGAGGTTCTCATTTGATCGATTATAATGTGACGACAACATTGTTTTAAAGAATTTCATTTAGCTTCTAATCTTCTTGTTTTAGTGACATTGAATAAAATGAAATCTGGCGAACAACAAAACATTGAAAATTTTGTGGCCTACGTTGTAACTCTATTTCTACCTTGGATTGAAGCTTCTTCGACTCTCTACACAAATATGATAATATCTAAATTATTTCGACACGAGGTCAAACTCTTGTTAATCGACAAAGTTCTGCGACCAATTGTTCAAGTCCTTTCTCGATTGATTGAAAATCATGGAGATCGAAATAGAACAACAGTGATGACTATCACAGGTGATGCACGTCGATATCGAGTTGGTGGTACTTCATTAAGAATTCGAATGGTTCCAACTGAACTTCTTCGTTAAATAAATCACCTAAAACAATTTTCTGTATTAAAATATTTCAATTAAAATATTTCGAATAAATATTTATTTGATCAACATAGAGTTTTTTTGATCAAGATGGTACTCTATCATTATTGTTTTCAAACTTTCTAGATCAATTACACGTCTGTTTATTTTTCTGAAGTGTAATTCTTCGAGATACTATCTTACTAATCAATACCTTCTTCACACATTCTATAGGGTTTAGGACAGTTGCGCGCAGACACTTGCTCGCTATAACAGTTACATAGGATCCTATAGCGATCAACTGTGCGGGTCCCCATATTTTCATTGATTGAGAAGAATATATCGAATGAGAATGAGAATGTCTGATTCATTATCTGATAGAAACAAGTCGACAATCATTCGTTTATTACTTGTTCGATTTTTATCAATTTCAAAATCATATATATATTTGTACGAAATATATAGCTTGTAAACCTTCATTTCTTTTTGTTGAATCAGTTCAACTCAAATAATGTTCACTATTGTAGTCATCGATCAATTTATAATTATATGCACAGAATCGTTTCAATCAATGAAAATCAAATAATTTTAACTACTGTCGAAGAAATCGAATAATTTAAAGATAAAACTTTCTTTCATATTCTCGTTTTTGACAATAAGCCATCATCATTTGTTGAATTGTACACATAGTTTTTCGACGGTATTTAATATTAATGAAAATTGCAATAGAAATAGTTCTCAAAACAAAGATTTGACGCATGCTTTTCATAGAAAACTTTTTTAGAATTATGGAATGAGAATATTTGAGAAAAAAAAAGATCTGAACAAAGTAAAAAGAAATATCAGTGGTCGTTTATTAACACGAAAGATAACTTCTTACTTTGTTCATTGCGATGCCGATTATGAGATGCCATTAATTCAAATTTTGCGCAAAAATGTTTTTTTTTATTATAGTTGGATCGAGCTCACCGGGTGACTTCTGAAAATTTTGTTTTTGACATATTCAGATGACACTTTTGTTAAAATTGATTTTAAAAAATCAGAAAAGCCTATAAAAATTGAAAATAGCCAAAACTAACGGCACATCAAGTGCGAAAGAAACGAATATGACATTCAAAATCAGAACAAAAATCTGTATCAAATAGTAAGCTCAATACTCAGAGCTAATTTTCGTTCTTACTTCGCTCATTGTTAATTTGAAATAATCCGACTTGTACTTCCCCTAAGGTTACAGTTTGACGAAAACTACTATTGAGTTTATTATTTTATGGCAGATTTTTTGTTGATTCTGAATATGATCATCGTTCCTCTGAGAATTGAAGTTTTGATAGTCAAAATCTTGGGAATCAAATCCGTATTTATGGCTTGTTTGCTATCATATTAAAAAAAAGATTTCTTCATCAAATCAAATGATATTTTTTCAAAAAGCACGAATAGATTCTTTTCTAACTGAATGATGCGTAAAATCAAACGAAATATTTGGATAAATACTGAAACTATCGAGTAGAGAACTGCATTGACCAAATCGAAAAAATCTGAGTACGGATCTTTTTTTTTCTTCAAATTTGGTTATGAAGAATTCTAGTGTCTTCCTGATTACATAGACTAAAAGAGAAAACATTTCTTTAGAAAATACACATTCGAATAACGAATCAGCATTCGAAATGATTGAATGGCTCAAAATTCTTTGATCGAAGCCAGAAAAAAAGTCTTTTGCGTCCGATGCAGCTCTCTGAAACCGAGACTTGATTTTTTGGTGTATTGCAATTTTTAGACACTCTTCTGATAGTTTTAAATCTATTTTACTAAGTTTCACTGCAAAAATACCGTTTGAATATATCAAAAAAATAATTTTCAAACGTAACTCAATGAGCTTTATCCAGTTTTTTTCTCATATTTTGAATTACTGACACGTTACACATTAAAAATTGTATCCATTAACTTTCTATACACACACTGCTATGGTAGTAATTTAAAAAAACGTACAAATCTTCATTTATTCATATAAATTAAATAAACAAAAATTGATAATATAAAAAAACATTGCCTTATTGTGATTCAATTTGCACTGGTATTTTTAATCACATGCTTTTTCATTTACTTGCGAACATTTTATCTTCCGAACTAAATTCCGAAACGTGAAATAATGAAAGTAAATATTCATTTACGTATACTTGATGACTTACTTGAATTCTTTCACTATTTTATTATTATGTTCACTCATCATATCTATAAAAGAGATAAAAAAATTGCGACGGACAAAATCAGGGGTCAAAAAGTCTTCGATAAGCAGACAACAGAATGGACAACAAAAATATAGAGGATTTTCGCTACAAAATACAGTGTGTAGACGACAGTTTCTTCTTTATTGTTTATTTTTCTTTGGCTATTCAAATCACATCTGAGCAAGTAAATACAAATTATCTTAAAATTTCGTATATATTCTATCAAATAGGTTGTTATTAAGATGCCATTGAAACAAGAATCATCATCATCATCTGCTGCAAAAGCAGCAAGAGATAATCATGCGAATCAATGCAATCCAAAACATTCCGAATATCGGGGTTATCAACCGGGTTATACAGGAAAGGGTACTAAAGCTGATTTAGACAATCATGCAAAACAATTAAATCCACAATATTCAAACAATCGAGCTGGTGAATCGAAATAATTCAAAAACAGTATATAAACATGAAATTTGTTTTCTATGTTATTTGCTCACGCATATGTTCTTTTCTGAAAATAAACATCTTTGATACTATTCAAAAGAAATGAGATTAGACTAACGAAGTTTATGATTGCAGTCGGTCAAAAAAAAGTATAACGGCTAATTGAAGATTTGCTTGAAAATAGTTCCGACAAATAAGTTTTAATAGATCGATCATAATTTTTGATTCTTTCTGTGCACCAAAAAAACTTGTATTTATTCTTCTTGGAAATCTTGAATAGTTTTTACTTAATTTATTAAAAATACAGTGAGTTATTAGACTTAGTAACTACATAGATCAGCAGTTTGTTAACAACATATTATTACAAACCAAGTAGTACCTTTCAACGCTGAAAAGTCTTCTGCATTTTATATAAAGATTGGTTTTCCAAAAAAAAGAAATTATCATATTTTCTTGACACATAAAATAATTATTCAAACAAAAAAAATTAACACAATATACAAGCTGTATTTTTTACTTGAAGTTTTCTCATTGTCTAGAATTTGTAGCTTCACTCGACACATTTTAGAATTTATCTTTATTGCATATTCGGAAATTTACACTTGACTATGATCGACTATAATAAATCAAATTATAGCATTGTTCTTATCAGCAATATCTCTTCATGATTCTTTTAATAGTATGAAACGTTGAAAATTTTCATTTTTCCATGATGACAAATGGTCTAGTACATTTAAGCTATTATTTTCTTATGTGCACTATTTAATCAAATATCTGAAATAACTGAAAATTAGGGTGTGGGTGTATATAACATGAAGAGCCTCACATACATATACTCTGCTTATGTGGAACATAATATAATAAGACGATTTGGTACTAAATTGTCAAAAATTACAAATGGATCACCATTTTCTAAAAATTTCAGATAGTCAGTTATTACAATATCTTCTAATGTTTTTGGAATTAGTGGAAGAACTGACAATCTATGACGATAAGCTATTGATCTTATGTGGTTGAAAATCGGTACATCTTTAGCTGTTCCTTTTTTTTCTTTTCTGATAGAAAAGAGCAGTATGTAAGAAAGAGAACTAGAAATAAGTTTAAATTAAACCATAGGTATCGTACTAAATTTTGTCGATAAACTTCAATTACTGGTGTTAGTAAATCATCTTTTTGTTGCCGTATACTATATATTTTGTAATAAATTTCTAACTTCGAATGTATGTTGAAGCTCGCAATGTGGATGTTCTTATGGATATCGTTTAATGATGCCATTAAGCAAAACAATTGATGCACCACAAGATTTATTACAACAAACCCATATCTCCGAGCCGTCTGTGTTTGAACATCATTTTCTGTATTTTTGATTTTTGCATATGAATGCTCTTGCATCTCTATTAGTTTGTGTTATTTCCATGTTATTATAGCAATTCAAGGATATGTTCAAGCATGAGACAAAAAAAAACTATGATATTCATAACAACAGCTATGCCTAGCGAACTCCATAAACTGCAGTTAATTAACAAAAAAGAAGAACACTACTTAGTTTAGTGCACTCTACATATTACAACTCATTCAGTGCAAATGATAAAACCCAATATTTAGCGAACTCTATAAATTACAGATAGTTATTAGTAATACTGAAAATATTAGCTTTTTTAAAATTGTTCGCAATAAATTTTTAGTAATTTAATAGTTAAAATTAAAAATTTTCGATTCTACTGTCAAATGACTTTTTTGTTAAAAAGTAAGCTTTTTCAAAAATAGTATAAGTAAATTTTTGAAAATTTAGAAAACCAAACTTGAAAACTTAAGATTGGTTTCAATTGAAAAAAATTTAAAATTTCGATTTTATGTTTGCAAATGAGAAGATACCACACTCACACCCATCTAGTTAAATTCTTCGTACCACTGGTGTTGAAAGATTAATAGAATCCGATAATATTTGTATAGATATGAGATCATTTGATACAACATTTGATGGATAAAGTATAGAAAGAAGTATTAATAAATTAGTGTCGTTTATTCATTTAATTAGATATTCTAAACGAAAAATCATATTTCAATGAAATTTATTTGCGAAATTTTTTTTCAAAAACAATCTTTTCGTAGTAAATTTAGCAAATGTTCATATTGTTTAGCTGCAATCATTTATGATTCATTTGATATATATTATCGAACATATATTAAAAGTGAATGAAGTGCTTCAATCGATAAATCAGTTAAATCTGTTTCTTTTAAGCCATGATCTAAATATTAAATAGTAAAAAATAGAAAATTTCAACGACAAAACAAAACTCATTACCAAATTCAATTATTGTTTAAATAAATTTCGGTAAACGTTTTTGTATATGTTCGTGAACTAATGTTCGAAGTTCATTATAAATTGAATTTTTTAAAACAAAAACAAAACTGAATTCTTGAGCATGATTCAATCGTAATAATGTTAAAAATCCATATGACGGGAATGAAATTGTAAAAGAGTAACATTAGCAAAAGAAAATTATATTTTAATTTGCATATTTTATTCTTCTATCTTTTGTGTTATAGCTGTATCAAATGCATAACAGATTAATGTTATAAAATTTTGTTTCGATATTTACGATGATATTTCTTGTTATAAATAAGTTAAATGAATATTTTCCGAACGTTTTAATGTTAAATTATTTTCTTCGATGGATTCTATATCCATATATGTTAATAATGTACGACCTAAATGATGTGCAACTTCAAATCCAAACTCAGATAGGATGTAGATGTGGGTGTGAATCTATTTTCTACACATATTCACATCCTTCTTCAATTTAACTCTGATTTTTAACTGAGAAAAAATAAGAGTAATACAAATGATGATTTCTAGTTCTCTACTAAGGTGATATCATGGTGTATCACTTTTAAGAGTCAGGATGAGTAGGATGTGGGTGTAAATAGAAGACTTTGATTCACACTCACACTTTTGTTTCGCAATGTATATCATCAAGCATAAAGAAAAAGCAACATCAAAGATACAGTATTTGAATTCTGACATTTGCTCTGAACTTAAGAATGAGCATCTGTTAGGCTGACTGATACTACACATACTCGATATTACTGTTGTAGTAAGTGTCACACAACTGATGTTTTACTTCTTTGCATAAAATATTTACACCGAAAATCAATCGACTAGCAATGATCATATCAAAATTTTCCATCAGCAATGTATTCACTGTTTTGTTCATTAACAAAGTCATACTTTGAGTTAATCTCGGTAGGAAAAATGAAAGACTATCCAATAGTGAATGGTTAAAAACTTTCAACCACTTCTCTTTCTGCGTGTTTCTAATCAATTAATGCATCATTTGAATCGTTTGTATAAATGAGACGAAATGACGATAAATTCGGATACGATTGAAAATCACCATAAAATGTGGCCAATCGTTTCGTAATAAATGTAGTTAATATTATGATTTTTCATTCCTTTAGCGAAGTCAAACATTGGAATAGCATGACTAGCTGTACCGATAGTAATCATCATTGCGTTCAAGCCGAATAATCGAGGGATGAATGCTAGTAGTCAAAATAGTAGTAAACTATTTATTGCCATGACACTTGTGCAAAAAGTAACATTGTGGAAGTAGAGAAAAATAGGTGAATTTCTCCTTTTCCGCTCTTATCTTGCTCAAATATTAAAATTCCCACATGAGTTTCATAAAGCAGCCGATAAACAGAAGCAAACGATTAAAAAACTCCATTTTACTCAAAAATTTTTCGAATGATACAATCTGTAACTAATATGCGATATGAGGCACTCGGTTTTGATCAACACCGAGAAATGATAAATTATATTCAGTGTTTTCTTCGCTACGTTTATCTTTTTGTCATAACATTTGTAATTCATTTCTCTACAAACAAGTATAGAAAGAATCTTTATAAAGTTTGATACTCTGTCCACAAACGACTATAGCAATTTCATTGAAAATTTTCGTTGACGCTGGTTACAGTAAAGATTACAAGTTCCAATATAATTTTGTATGATCATGATAGATGCTACCGAATGATGTAGTCCTAATCAAAAGGATTTACTTTTTATTGTGGTTTCAATCAATGGTCAGGCATAGTTAAAGTTGGATGCAAAGTTTTTACATAAAGCAACCATCACAGTTTCTATAAAACTTCTAGTGCTAAAAAAAGAAGGAAAATATCAATTAAAAGCCTACTGTGATAACTACAGTCATTGTTTCGACCGCTGTACCTTAGTACAATGTATTGAGGATTTGAAATTTTGCATTTGAATTATACTTACCACTAAGAACAACACCTTGTTCTATTCAATCAATAGAGCGAATAACTCGGAATCTCTTGTCATTCATATCATGCCAACACATCTTAAGTTGAGGGCCTGTTTGGCTACGCTTTAGGATCGTCGGTGGGAACATAGCGATGTGTGTGTGCATGTTCGTAAAAAGAAGCTAAACAGCAACATCCGCATCCCACAATTAGGAAAGTAATATAATATTGTCTTGTTAATCAATGAAATAGTTAATTGTTCTTATTAATTTTAGACAATGATTGAAAGTCATGCATCAAACTTAAATTCAAACTGATCTAAATCAACATCATATATTGGTCAACCTTGTTCTACTTTTCTTTCGCATTCAGATCCATCAAGAATGAATCCTTCTGACATAATAATATAATATCTCTAGGAATAAGACTATAATTATTCTTCATCGTAGTTCGAGGATAAACAAAAAGATCTTACAACAATTAATGTTGAATTATATAAATTTCAAATTTTTAGGGTATAAAATTATCTATGATTCATTTTTTTTCAAGTTTATCTTAATAAATGTAACATAGAAATCATTGATTATTATGTCATCTGAAAATAATTTTTATCGTATCCGACGATTCTATACACTTCCATCCGATTTGAACAGTCTTCGTTAACTGAGAATATCACTTCTAATTTAATGAATGATTATTCGATGTATCTCACCATTGTAAATTGACTATTTGCTTA